GCAGCTGTCCACCGCACGCGTGGGTCCCCGTGAGACAGTCCCAACCACACACGTGGGAGGCAGCTGTCCACCGCACGCGTGGGTCCCCATGAACCGACTCAAAAGCAACTAACAGCAAAAGGCCCCTAGCCTGAGCCCGTGGTTTGCACTCAGTGACCAGCGCAGAGCCAGCTGTCAGCAGCCCCGGAGAAAGACTGGCGCTCGGCCTCAGACACACCGGCAGCGGGGCCACCATTCACTGGGATCAACCTTCCGCTGGGCGCAGTGCCCCTAGACGGTGCGGCCGTCCAGGCCGACAGCTGGTGCGTGATGAGCCCAGTGCAACGTGAGGCCTTGGGAACAGCCACGAGCACACGGGCGCGGGCAGGCAGGCGTTTCCCCCAGCACACATGGGCGTGTCCTTCGCAGGGAGTGGGGTTCGGCTCCCTGACCCCAACAACAAAGCGGTCACATGAAACGCTTGCTCCCAGTTCTGAAGTGCAGAGCATGCTATCCCACAGGTGTCTACGGTGACGTCCTGGTTGTGGGGCTGGATGACAGCTGACATCATCAGCATCTCCCCCCACCCCCACCCCACACACAGTGGCGTTTGTACCACAGCCCTGGCGATGTCAGAGCAAGCAGGGGTTTGAAAGAAGCACAAGAGCTTTTGCCAGGGGCTCTGGACACACGTCCAACCTGAAAAAGCCCCAAGCCACTGCTTTGTAAACAAAGACATAAACACTGATCACAAACAAAATGACCACCAATAAAACCAGGTAAGTGCAAACCCAGTGCGTTGGCGAGTTCTGGAAGCCGACACCTTATCTCCAGGCAGGGAGGATGGAGGCAGGGCGGGAGGGAGCCAGTGCCAGGGCAGTCCAGATGGGCCGGGGCAAGAGCTGGCACCGGACACCAGCTTCCAAGTCCGAGCACTGAGCCGCAGCTGGCAGACACCGCTCCAGGGGGAGACCTTTACAGAGGACACTACCTCCGGCAAGGTGGGAACTCTCACATGGTGTCGCAGATGAAAACTTGGGTAAACAATTGAGCAGAGGCTTCCAGAGGGCTTGAGAACCTGAACCCAGCACTGACATGGAAGGAAGCAGGCACAGGACGGTGACCCAGGAAGGCAGCGACCCAGGAAGGCAGCGACCCAGGAAGAGTGCGACTTTGAGGCCGCCCTGGTCAGCTGTGCCCTGGGTGTGGCTGACCCTCACACCACAGCTCCGGGAAATGCTCCCTCCTCGAGCAGGGCTCTCAGGCTCCAGGGGCTATGGGCGTTTCCAAGTGCAGCCCCAGTGAGATGTGCTCTTGTGAGCCCCAGAAGGTGTGGGAACAGAAGGCTAACATGCTCCCCTGTTTTCCCACCCCTGCCGGATCCACCACAAACCCAAGCGAGTCTTTTGACAGGGGAGAGAGTCAAAAGACCTTGTGAAATACCTTCCACAATGTTCCTAAGAGGGAATGCCGGATGTCTGCACGGAATGGATGCAAGCACACAAAAAGGAATCTTGGGGTGGGGTGGGGGGGCTGTCAGAGGCAGACAGGGACGGATCCGGCTGCCAAGGGAGAGAAAGGGAAGCAGGCTCTGGGTCGTTGCAGCTACCCAACACAGCCGTGACTCTTCCAGCAGAGGGGCCTCCAGACCCTGCAGGTGGAAAACAAGGCCCCTGCTCCAGGGAAAGCCCAGCTGCTGCCCTAGAAGGAAGAGGCTGGCCGAGGGGTGCAGTGGTTCCCCTTAGTGCCTGTGCAAGACCCCCGTGCAGATTCACAGGGTCACTGGGGACACTGCCTTCCTGTGTCACCATCCTGAAATTCTGCTGCCTCAACAGGGCTCTCCACTTCCACCCAAACTCCTGTGTTAGAGGTAAAATTCTGCGCACTCGGTTTACAGAAGATGCCCCTTAGGGTTCAGGCCAGATTCAGAAGAGGACGTGGGACAAAGGAGATCACTCGCACTGTCAGATGGATCTTGGCGGAAAGCAGAGAGGGCCAGCAAGATGTGCTTTGTTGACTATGCCAAGGCGTGCGACCGTGTGGATCATACAAAGTAGGGGTAGCCTCGAGAAGAATGGGAGCCCAGGAACACGACCGTGCGCTCACGCAGAACCCACACATGGGTCAAGAGGCAGATGTGGGAACAGAACAATGGAATACTGCATCGTTTGAAATCGGGAAAGATGTGTGTCAGGGTTCGTGGGAAGCAGAAAACGGGAAGAGTGTATATGGACAAACCCTTTATTCTCAGATTTAAGGAGCCTGGCAGGCTGGGTTTCTGAGGTGGAGAGAGGCCTTCACCCTTATGAGTTGGAGGTGAGTCCCAATCACATTCTCATAATTAAAATGGTTCCCCACTACATCCTCCCATAATAGTGGTACCTTAAAGTTACCTCTTATAAGCACACGGCTGATTGCTATCTAGCCAGCAGCTTTAGCTATAGGAGCAGACATGTGCTGCTGCTCTCTAGGCTCTGAGGACAAGCACTCCCCAGGCACTGGTGTTTGGGCCACTTTTTCTATGTCGGCAGGACCTTTAGGGTTAGGATACAGCCCACGTTGTTACCTATGTGTTTACCTGTAAATAGGGGGCTTGGTTGGAAATATATTCTCTCTCTCCTGCAGTCATGGTGGTCCCGGAGGTGAGCACTTGCATGCTTTATCTTGTCTGATGTCTCTTTAATTTTACTCCTCAATTACACAACCACCCCTTGGACCCATTCGATTGTAGGGGCTGGTACCCCACAAGGGTTGTATCCTCTCACCACACTGATTCAATCTTCATGCTGAGTAAATAACCAGAGAAGCTGGTTATTATGAAGAAAAATGTGGTGCCAGAATTGGGGGAAGGCTTTTTCACAGCCTGTGATGTGCAGATGCTGCTACCTTGCTTGCTGAAAGTGAGGACAAACTGAAGCACCTGCTGATGGAGATCAAGGGTTGCAGCCTTCAGTATGGATTACAACTCCATGTAAAGACGATCAAAATCCTCACCACTGGACCAACGGGAGACATTAAGATCAACGGAGAAAAGATTGATGTCAAGGATTCCCTATTTCTTGGATCCACAATCGGCGCTTGCAGAAGCGGTCGTCACGACATGGAAAATCATACTGCAGTGGGTCAGCCACCGCACGAGACCTCTCTAACGGGTTGCAAAGCAAGGTGGTCACTTTGAGGACTACAGTGTGCCTGACCCCATCCATCGTGTTCTCAAGTGCCTTACAGGCATGTGGAAGCGGGGCTCTGAATGAGGAAGAGCCCAGAGGAATCGAGGCACTGGGATGATGGAGCAGGTGAAGACTCTTGTCAACAGAACCAACACGCCCGGCCTCGGAGAAGGACAGCAAGAATGCTCGTCAGCAGCGAGGAGGAGCGGCCGCATCTCCCGCACGGTGGAGATGGTCTCCGGAAAGAGCAGGCCCGCAGAGGACGCTGTGCTTGGTGAGGGAGAAGGGCAAGGAGGAGAGGAACACATCAAGGGATGTGGCCCAGGGGCTGTGACAGTGCGCCCCAACATCACAACAGCTGTGAGGACGGGGCACCAGGGTGTTTCAGTCTGTCGCACACGGGCCACTGCGAGTCGCCGCGGACTCGATAGCACTCAACAACACCGCCGCCTTCAGTGGGAGCGCGGCTCTAGTTGGTGTCTGCACCCGGATCCAGCTTTCCTCAAGCTCTTTCTCACCACAGACCAAACCAACTCATCCCCACTGAGTCAGTTCTGACTCACGGCCACCCTGTCTGTACTGCGTTTCTGAAGCGCTAGATCTTTATGGGAGAATATAGCCCTTCATCTTTCTTTTGCAGACCAGCTGGTGGGCTTCCACCACCTACCTTACAATTAGTATGACTAGCAGTCCAACCTTTAACCAACCCCCGCAGTGTTTGGTTGGCAATATGAAAAAGGGGCATGATGATGTTTGGGTATAAGTTTATTAAACAGGACAAGTGTGTATTTACTGTATATGTTTTACTTTTAGAAGCCCATAAACAGCTAGGGCTCTAAGTGGTGGGCGAGGCAAATCTGCTGTCCCTACTGTCTACAAAAGACTCAAGAGACCAAGTGAAATAAATCTAACAGTCCTGGGACCCAGGGCGTCAAAGGGATGGATAAAGAAGTAGTTGGAATACCAATAACCAAACAGAAACATGAACAAGGGCAGTGACTTCCAACTGGCCCTGGGCAGGCATTTAAAGTTATTGCCACCAGCCTTCCAATGAGAACAGGAACCAGACAATCAGCTGTGCTTGCCCAGGATCACAGCGGTACCCACATCCCACATTGGTGGCTGGCAGCCAAAGATCAATTGGGATCCAGTGATCCTACCCAGCCACACCTGTCACCCCACATACTTAATGCTATTCCAACATCAACATCTATCCTAGTGCCCTCTCTTTCTCTTTGGGTTTTGATAATC